TTCCTCTCTGTCTGGCTGATCCATGTTGTGATCAGGGTGGATATCATGTCTGTGTCCGGCTGATTCATGTTGTGATCAGGGTGGGTATCATGTCTATGTCTGGCTGATCCATGTTATGATCAGGGTGGGTATCGTCTCTTTGTCTGGCTGATCCATGTTGTGATCAGGGTGGTAATCATCTCTCTGTCTGGCTGATCCATGTTATGATCAGGGTGGGTTTTGTCTATGTGTCTGGCTGATCCATGTTGCTTAAGGGAAATAGAGGATTTTTTCTCTCCTACTGTACAAGTGAATGGATTTAAACCAAATGCAGTCTGAGGTATGATTAGGGACAAAAGAATCAATTTTGTATAAACTGAGGTGTGTGGGCCCCCTTCTTTGGGGCAGATGGGTGGGGCCCATTAGGGGAAATAGAGGAAAACATCAAAGATCCTTCTCCTTCTGTACCCTTGAAGGGATTTTAACCAAACTACTTGTTCTAGAGAATCTTTGGGCAAAAGGAGCAGGGCCCAATAGGGGAAATAACGAAAAATATTTTCCCTTCTGTACAAATGAGGGGATTTAAACCAAATGTGACCTGAAGCATGCTTAGGGGGAAAATTCAATGTGTTTAATTTGTATAAAAAGGTGCATGTGAGGCCCAATAGGGAAAATAGAGGAAAATTGGGACCTAACATGGAAACTCATTTTCTTGGTGTCTTTCCCACCAAAACAGATTTATATGTAGTTCTTCTTGCAACTTTGTTTCTTATACTCCTTTGATAAACCTGTATGGTACTCAGCAGGTTTTAAATTGAAAAATAAAATACCAGGTGAGCTATCAAGGCCCCTGGGCCTCTTGTCTCTATTTCTATGAGCCTTCAGTATTTCAATGGTTAACAATAAAATCACATCTGTGCATCTATTTGCTTCTAGCTGCAACTCTCACTTCAGTATTTTGTTAACAATGAATTGTTACTGTATACCTGAAGGGTTTGACCTTCAGATGACCTCTAGAGTAAACCAGTGTCTAATAGATAACTCCTCTTTCTTAGGCCTTCAAATGACCTCTAAAGTAAACCAGTGTTTAATAGATAACTCTTCTTTCTTAGGCCAAAGTGATGATGAAGAATGCCAATGTGATCCCCAAACTCCAGGAAGTAATACACAACATCGACAACCACTACAGACGAGATATGTCAGAAAAGTGTCTAGAGAACCTACAGTCCGTGGTAGCTACTGTGTCTGAATAGTCAACTCGTGTCAACAATCGCTAGTGATGAGACTTGTCAGGAAAGTAAATAGAGGACCTACAGTCTGTGGTAGATACTGTGTCTGAATAGTCGACTCGTGTCAACAATCACTAGTGATGAGCCTTGTCAGGAAAGTGAATAGAGGACCTGTAGTCCGTGGTAGCTACTGTGTCTGAATAGTCGACTCGTGTCAACAATCACTAGTGACGAGACTTGTCAGGAAAGTGTCTAGAGAACCTACAGTCCGTGGTAGCTACTGTGTCTGAATAGTCGACTCGTGTCAACAATCACTAGTGAAGAGACTTGTCAGGAAAGTGAATAAAAGTCTCGTCACTAGAGGACCTACAGTCCGTGGTAGCTACTGTGTCTGAATAGTCCGACTCGTGTCAACAATCACTAGTGACGAGACTTGTCAGGAAAGTAAATAGAGGACCTACAGTCTGTGGTAGCTACTGTGTCTAAATAGTCGACTCGTGTCAACAATCACTAGTGAAGAGACTTGTCAGGAAAGTGAATAAAAGTCTCGTCACTAGAGGACCTACAGTCCGTGGTAGCTACTGTGGCTGAATAGGCCGACTCGTGTCAACAATCACGAGTGACGAGACTTGTCAGGAAAGTCAATAGAGGACCTACAGTCTGTGGCAGCTACTGTGTCTGAATAGTCGACTCCTGTCAACAATCACTAGTGACGAGCCTTGTCAGGAAAGTGAATAGAGGACCTACAGTCTGTGGTAGCTACTGTGTCTGAATAGTCGACTCATGTCAACAATCACTAGTGACGAGCCTTGTCAGGAAAGTGAATAGAGGACCTACAGTCCGTGGTAGCTACTGTGTCTGAATAGTCGACTCGTGTCAACAATCACTAGTGATGAGACTTGTCAGGAAAGTGTCTAGAGAACCTACAGTCTGTGGTAGCTACTGTGTCTGAATAGTCGACTCGTGTCAACAATCACTAGTGATGAGACTTGTCAGGAAAGTAAATAGAGGACCTACAGTCTGTGGTAGCTACTGTGTCTGAATAGTCGACTCGTGTCAACAATCACTAGTGACGAGCCTTGTCAGGAAAGTAAATAGAGGACCTACAGTCTGTGGTAGCTACTGTGTCTAAATAGTCGACTCGTGTCAACAATCACTAGTGAAGAGACTTGTCAGGAAAGTGAATAGAGGACCTACAGTCCGTGGTAGCTACTGTGTCTGAATAGTCGACTCGTGTCAACAATCACTAGTGACGAGACTTGTCCGAAATGTGGCTGCAGACCTACCATATGTGTTAGATGCTGAGGTTTAAGCGACCCACGATCCAATGATGGTGTAGTTAGTCTTGTGGTAGCAACCATGGACCTGTTTGTGGTAGCAACCATGGACCTGTTTGTGGTAGCAACATTTTCTGAATAGTCATTCTAGTGTGATGGCCAAGGTAGCTAGTGGCTGCTGTCACCAAGTAGTAGGCTTTGAAAGTTTGGTGGTCTGCTGTGGACCAAATTCTGTTGTTGACCTGTGGTTATGGCAGAGTAATAGACCTAAGCTTGGATTAACATTAGATATTAAAAGACTAGTGCTAGGATGTTTAAGCAAGCTTTAAAGCCTGGCACTGACTAGGCCATTTCTGTATTTGGAGAAGAGCCAAATCCATACTTTTGTTTATTATTGAAAATCATTTTTTTTCTCCCTCAGCCTTTTCCAGACAGACATAAACTGTGATAGACAATACATACATGTCTTGTATTTTCCAAACATTATTACTGCTATCATGCAATGATAAACCATATATCGGTGATAGGGCAATTTTCAAATCGAATAAGAAATTGACTCCGTGAAGCATTCCGTCCAAGTAGTGTTGGTACAGCTATATAATATATTGCTGATTTCATGTGCAGTATGTTGTAGCTGAAGTTTCCATAATGCCATATGTATTTTATATATTTGTACTCAAATCATGTTATTTATGATAGACCTGTTTTAGAATTGTACAGAAAATAAATTGCAGTATAATAATGAATATGCATTGTGTTTTACTTTATAGAATTATACGAGTACTTAAAAAGTGTGCGGAAAAAACAGTATATACTGAAATGATGTAGAAGATTTTGTCCGCTACGTAGCATAACAGTTATTTTGAATAAGTTATCAAAAGTGTTTTCAACCTACCAACATGTGATCTTAAAGATGGGTTAAGGTTCTTTATTTAAACAAACTTGCTAGACCTTCATCACAAGCTATAGACAGAATAATTACCTTATGATTCTGCTGAATATGATGATGGACAAAATGTTGATTCACAGCATAAGCTCAACAGCATTAGGTGTTAGATGTATGTATGGTATATGTCTAATAAAAAATCCTGTTGACATAAAAATGAGTGTAAATGAATTATTAAATTGACTTGAAACCATATGTAACAGACAGATACCAAAACACATTTGGAACAACGAAAAGGAAAGAAAAAAGTAGTATTGAAACTTCAGCGCCAAAAATAAATGAAGGCCCATAACTTTGTATGTATAGGAACGTGAGACCTGGGTTTGTATTCATGAAAGCGTTCTCATGCTCAAGCATGGATTCTGTGCTCAAACCAACCTCTTATTATTTGCTTAAATTTTGCGCCAAAGTCAGAAAGTCATGTTTAAATACTGAAAACAGTATTTCGCGTTATTATTTTATCACTTGAACATGAGCACATACAGAATCTGAATTTGAGCAGGAGAAAAAAAGAAGGGCCACACCCTCCGTTTATACAAACTTGGGGCTCCTTTGTCCAAAAATGCTCTAGAACAAATTTGGTAAAAATCCTTCAATTGGTTGAGAAGAAGGAGATTTTTAAAGATTTACCTATTTTCCCCTTACTTGGCCCCGCCCATCTGCCCCCAGGGGGACCATACCCTCTGTTGATACAAAACTGAGAACCCTTTGGCCAATGATGCTCCAGACCAAACTTGGTCAAAACCCCTTCATTGGTACAAAAGGAGAAGGATCTTTAATGTTTTCCTCTATTTCCCCTATAGGGCCCCAAAAAAGGGGGCCCACACTCCTCAGTTTATACAAAATTGATTCTTTTGTCCCTAAGCATGCTTCAGGATGCATTTGGTTTAAATCCCTTCACTTGTATAGTAGGAGAGAAAAAAATCCTCTATTTCCCCTATTGGGCCCGGCCCTTACCTTCGTTTATACAAACATGAGGCTCCTTTGTCCAAAGATGCTCTATAACAAATTTGGTCAAAATCCTTCTATTTTTTGAGAAGAGGATTTTTAAAGATTTACCTATTTTCCTCATATTTGGCCCCGCCCCTCTGTCCACAGGGGGACCATACCCTCCGTTTATACAAAACTGAGAACCCTTTAGCCACTGATGCTCCAGACCATATTTGGTCAAAATCCCTTGAGCCGTTAAGGACTAGTAGCGTTTTAAAGGAAAAAGTTGCCGGACGACGGACGCTGTGCCATGGCATAAGCTCACTTGACCCTTCGGGCCAGGTGAGCTAAAAATCATCAGTAATTATGTTTAATGACGCATTATGTATACTGCTGCAGTCACAGGATGGTAATAGATAGCTGGCAGCCTCTCACAATCATGTTCGATCTTGCTCCGAAGCCAGGTGGTGTGCAACATCAATGCTAGGTCCAGTCGCTACTACCTGTCGTCAGCTAGGTATCTCGGCATACACAATCAAGGTCACGAGGGATCAACAATAATACTGTAACTGTAAGGGTCGCACCATTGCACACAGACTGAAACATACTTCCTGCCCGTACTTGACGGTAAATATTCACACTGTCATAGATTTTATGGATTATTACCGTATGTTTGTTTTTCCATTATACAGGTAAATTGTTAGCACAAAAGGCCATATGGCTTATGCCCTGGTACAGAGTTTGTCTTACTTTTGAGCCCACCATCATGTGATGGTGGGCTATTCAAATCACCCTGCGTCCGTCGTCCGTCCTTAAACAATTCTTGTTATCGGTATTTCTCAAGAAGTACCGAAGGGATCTTTCTCAAATTTTATATGTAGGTTCCCCTTGGTCCTTGGCTGTGCAGGGCAGATAGGCCTCTTGGGTATTCAGGAGAAGTTGTTTTAAACATATTAGACCCCTGTGACCTTGAAAATGGATGAAGGTCATTCATTTAAACAAATTTGGTAGCCCTTTATCCCAGCATGCTACTGGCTAAATATCATCACCCTAGGCCTCTCGGTTATTAAGAAGAAGTTGTTTAAAGTAAAATATTGACGCCGGACGGACGGACAAATGAATGACCTTGAATTATATTCAAGGTCACAGCGGTCAAATATGTTAAAATATTTAAACAACTTCTTCTGAATAAACATCAGGCCTAGAATGTTGATAGCTGGTCAGTAGCATGCTGGGATCAAGGGCTACCAAGTTTGTTAAAGTGAATGACCTTGACTTATATTCAATGTTACAGGAGTCGAATTTGCTTATAATCTTTAAATGACTTCTCCTGAATAACCATGAGGCCCAGAATGTTGAATGTTGATATTTAGCAAGTAGCATGCTTGGATGAAGGGCTATCAAGCTTTGGAATTTGAATAACCTTGACCCACTTTCAAGGTCACATTTGGTCAAATATGTGTAAACATTTAAATGACCTGTCTTAATAAAAAAAAAAATCTTTTAACATGTTCTTTTGAATGACTTATAGCCATAAATACTGATATTTTTTTCTGTAGCTCTATTTTATATCACTTTACAGGTTACAAGTGTGAGATTTAGACTAGGTGAGCGATGCAGGCCCATTGGGCCTCTTGTTCAAATGAATTTATCTTGACCAACTTTCAATGTCACAGTATAAATGTGTTAAACCCTTTTAATGATTTATTCTGATAACCAAGTAGCTTTAAATTATTTTTACATGTAACTTTATGGTGGAAAATGTTATGAATGTTTGATCTGATTGAATGACCTAAATCAACCAACTTTGTAGGTCAGATAAAGTCATCCAGCAAAGATCCATAAGGTGTAAAGACATTTTTAAAAATTCCAACAATGACCAAAAATGTGTTATATTTAGCCTATTTAAATTCTACCTAGACCATCTTTGAAGGTCACAGAATGATGCTAAATGAATGACCGGTGAGCGACACTGGCCCATTGGGCCTCTTGTAAATGTAATTGTTACATTATTACAATGCCCAAGTCAGAAACCCAATGTATGAAACAACACATGAAGGACATGTGATGCTGATATCTGTATATACAATTTAGTAGTCGAGGGGACTGCCTGGTGGTTCTATAGATTTAACTCGGACCCGTATGACGCACTGTGATGTAATGCAGATCATGATACATTTCTTACAATAAGTATGACCATGTAATTTCCCTCTATAAGAATCAGCTCGATAGTTTCTTATCTAATTACTAATGAAATGTTGTCATCACCAACAGAGAACATCCTTTCTCGATGTCAATATATTTTAGAAGTTATATGATTTGTATGTTATACAACTCTCTCACCAAAATATGTTATTAGTTTTATGAGGACAAGTGCATTTCATCATTGATACAATGGATCAGTAGAGTAACAACAGTACTGTGTAGTGCTGAGACAGGTAACAAGGCTCATGATGTATTGACATCATGTCATGATTAACTGTCCCAGCCCTTATTGTTTACTGTATTATAGTAACAAGAAACACAGACACAATATCTATTAAATAACAGTTTTAATCATTATGTTAAATCATTAAAAAACAATACCGGTGAAAACAATGGACAGCTAGCACCATCAATAATCGTGTATGGTGCTGACTCCTAGTAACATGTGAACAGACAATCAGCAGTGATAACTATCAATAATGTAACAATAATCTACAGCGAAAATCTCAGTGAAACCAATACACTAAACTTAACACGTTTCTTAAGTGTGACAGCAGAATTATACATCCAGTTATACAATAAATAAAACATATGAAAGACATAAATTTAAAACCATTTACTGAACCCAATGTATGACCAGGTGGAAATGGACAGTGGTCAAGACAGTACACTTTCCGTGACGAGGTGGCGATAAGTTTGGGTTGAGGGGGAAGAATCAAAAGGTATTTCTGTTAAATGATTTGTATCTCTCATCTCCATTCAATGAAATAGAAATCAATGATGTTTTGAAAATAACTGACATTTCCAGAGATATGCCCGAGAAACAAGTTGATTAACTGAATGATGTTGACAGTTATAAATGTGCACAATAATTATAAACAGATCCAACCTCTAAGAAGTCTCTAAAATGTACCCCATCTAGTATGGCATACAGCTTACAGTAAAAACATTAACGAAACCGATCATATTCTAGGATATTTACATAGATTATCTGAAACACTACAATCTAAGCATAGAGTTAAGTAAATGGTCAGCATGCTAGATCAATATTATGCCCTTATAACTTCCCAGTACCAAAATAGACTGACAAACAACGTAGGACCGCATCGTTAGAAACCCAGATAATGTACCGATTGTGGCGTAACTCTGGTTTTCTTCTTAGACGCAAACTCATTATTAAAACCTATCGATAAAAAATGTATTTTCTAATCGTTACATCACACCCCAATTCCTTCAATGTGATCTAGTGACTCCAGCTGATTAGCAGCCGAACTCCATACACATATAACACAAAAAGTCGCCTTTACATTCACTAGGAGGCCGAGCTATTACAGGCGTTACTCTTTAATCTATGCATATGACTTCCACTTTGAACTGGAAATCGTCTCTTTGCTGATAACACTAGTAGATCGTGATACCTGCCCGTCACTTGATTGATGTTCTGACCATGTGTACAAGGCACTTCATCATTCTTCATGTTAAATACATACAATACATATATATAAACTCATTACTCCAATAACATTAAATATTAGGCAACGATAACCATAGGTAAATAAAACTAGGTAATATCGAAAGGTATGCAATCAGATAGTCGGGTGGCACAATGGATATCCCACCTACCTTTCACCGAGACGGCTGGGGTTTAATTCCCTATCACTTATAATCAGACATGAACAGATATTGGGTCACCTGCTCAACCACTTGGTTTTCACCAGGCACTTTGGTAACCTTCCACATTAAGACTCCTTATGTGGCATCCTGGCCAACAAGAGTGATTAATGTAAATTGGAAAAATTTGATTTAAAAAAAAGAAATGTTTGCAATTTACATACATTTATTATGATTTAAATCATTGTTATCATATCCATTTAAGTTGGGAGGATAACAAACATAATGTGTCTTTTCAACTAAATACTGGGTAAAGAGTTTGGCATTATGTCAAATTGAAAAAGATTAAAACATAATAGCTATAATTTGTTTACATATAATTTCTTGTGGTGCACCCAGGTTTGACTAGATATAGCAAGAGTGGGGCCACTACAGGAGGTGCTAACAAACAGGGTAGGGGGACCACCACATGAGGTGCTAACAAACATGGTAGGGGGCCCACCACAGGAGGTGCTAACAAACAGGTCAGGGGGGCCCACCACAGGAGGTGCTAACAAACAGGGTAGGGGGGCCCACCACAGGGGGTGCTAACAAACAGGGTAGGGGCTCACCACATGGGTGCTACCTGTGTATATCAGTAATAAGTACACAATAATATACAAAAAAAGCTATATACATCGGTTTTCAACAAATGTAAAATATCAAACATTAATGTACATACACAATATATGGAGTATCTTATAGTTAAATGTCAGTCTGGATTTTGCAAAATACAGATCAAAAGCAGATATTCTGTAATTCTTTAAAAAGCTTTGTTACCTGCGATACTATGGTTACTGTTAAACCAATAACTGTTTCTGATAATAATCAAATTCATTTCAATTCCCACTTTTTATGAGATTTTTTTATTTTTAGCAAAACATGTAGTAATACCTGCCAACTACAACTTAACAATGATATCCTAATAAATGGCTGGATACATCAATGAAAGGAGGCATGCCATTTAAACTAAATGTAAACTACTGTATGTATATTTCTACAAAACAAATCGTAACACAATGTACTCTAAATCAATGTGAAAACAGGATATATGTGTAGAACAATCAATGTCTCCATACAGGTTAACATAACTTAACATATAAAAGTTCAGGAAAACTCAAAAGAAATTGTTAAATGATTACATAAATTACATATTTTCATTTAATTCAAATGATTTACCTAGATAGTACTGTAAGAATAAATTGAAGTGTGTTGTGAGGAGTCCAGTAGAAGGAAATGTTTTGTAAAGTGAAGAATTGAGTAGAAGGAAGATCCTTGAGGAAGGAATTATGAAGTGGATTCTCAAGGAGAGACGAAGGGCAAGAGAGAAGCCATCCAAACATCAATATAACATAGACGTCGCAGAACCAGCTGCTACTACTACCACCAGCACAGACATGTTCATATCAGAATACAATCTGTACAACACAAAACATTTGGAAAAGTCACGGGGGGGGGGGAAGAAAAATACTGTAACTGATGTACGACAAAAAATAAAGGTACTCTAAAAAGTATCTGTCATTAGACAAAGCATAAACAATATCTCATAAAAACACATAATGGTCCTGGTCTGGCTTTTGTCAATGAATCTTTTAAATCACTCATGACAGAAAACTTTCTGTTAGAGAAAACAATCAAACATATAGACCTTCACAATTATAAACTTCACAAAGTAATAAAAATCTTGGCCAAACACTAAAAACTTGTTTTTCTCACCAGAACTTTACATTCCACCTCAAAGTAACTACAAAATAAAATGAAGATCAAGTTAAAAAGTTGTTTAGAGTCTAGAAGGTGTGATTCTTTGTCCGTAAAATTAAATTCCTTTAAAACTTTTCTTTCAATGAATAAATACATTAGATTTTTAAAATCTTTTTGAAGCTTTTATGAAAACAGTTTCAGCTCTTTTCCAACAAAATCATGCCAAACCTTATTTTCCATGATGTAAAATATATATCAACAGAGATGATTGAGAATTCTGATATTTAATATTAGTAATCTTGAGATTAAGTAAAAGGTAGTATACCCACTAACCAGTATCACATATACATGTATAATACTGGTTAAGTGTACTACCAAGTACTACATGTACAATGCACATATACCGTTTACTGGTAAATTTTTGCTGCAGTTGAATGTTGCCTTTTTCGACCTTCGTAACGAGAACAAACCACAGTAAACAACTTACATACATAGTAATTAAAAGTGAAGGTGAATTTAAAACTGATCGAATATGGACTTTACCAGCGAAGGGCAAAAGTTTGACTGAGCGAAAATGTCCTGGTATACATTATTCCTAGTTACTAGTATGAAAAAATGTAGTATAATGACAGAAACACCGGTACTAAAATGACTATGTTATTCTCTCCATTCATAAATCAAGCACCGGTGAATTACAATAAAAAAAAAACATAAAAAAATCAGATTCAAAGAACAGTTCATGACAGTTGAGTGGCTAGACTTATACATATACGCCAGCATAATTCTATCTTATTGCACTGAATTCTTCACGTAGCAGTAAACGCAGCTAACTCTACAGATTTTAAAATCCCTGAAATAATCGCGACACCTGTTAGGTGCAACTCCTTGTTCCAGACTCAGCATCAGTGTGTAGTAACTGTTCGTACCAGACTGTCGACAACATCAGTGTGTATTAACTGTTTGTACCAGACTGTCAACAACATCACAGTCTGCCTTTTGATTGAAAATATGAGCAAAATTCAAAAATCTTTCATAAATTATACACCACGACTTCATATGTACACAGCTCCACCACTACAAGTACTAACGAAGCACACGTCCACCTATGAAAGACAAAAGGCTTTCAGCAATACCAATCTATTGTTCTGTCATCCACACAATTGTACCCGTAACAATCCCATGGGGAGAGCAGTAAATACAGGTCCGCCATTCAAGAACTATAAAGACATTTACATTAATCTTCACTATAAAAACTTGTTAATGAAAGTGAATATGAAAAAGACATACTGATTAAAATAAAATTGCTGCACACTCCTAAATGGTGATTTAATAACTAACAAGGCTCTACTTGACCAGTAGCTTAAAATCAATATGTTCTAATGCAAAACACATCTGTTCATTGATGGTAAATGGGTTTTTTCCTGCATTCAATTAAAAATGAAATAATTTGGATATTAATCCGAATGGTGATCACCTGATGTCCTACAGTTTTGATGTTGCTAAATGACTTGCAAACACACAGATGTAATAGTCCTTGACAACGGCTGGTAGTGGTAATAATATAGTCCTTGACAACGGCTGGTAGTGGTAATCCTATGGCTAGGCACAGAACCTTATTCTCCGTACATGTCACCCAGACAGATATAGTCCTTGACAACGGCTGGTAGTGGTAATCCTATGGCTAGGCACAGAACCTTATTCTCCGTACATGTCACCCAGACAGATATAGTCCTTGACAACGGCTGGTAGTGGTAATCCTATGGCTAGGCACAGAACCTTATTCTCCGTACATGTCACCCAGACAGATATAGTCCTTGACAACGGCTGGTAGTGGTAATCCTATGGCTAGGCACAGAACCTTATTCTCCGTACATGTCACCCAGACAGATATAGTCCTTGACAACGGCTGGTAGTGGTAATCCTTTGGATAGGCACAGAACCTTATTCTCCGTACATGTCACCCAGACAGATATAGTCCTTGACAACGGCTGGTAGTGGCAATCCTTTGGATAGGCACAGAACCTTATTCTCCGTACATGTCACCCAGTCAGATATAGTCCTTGACAACGGCTGGTAGTGGTAATCCTTTGGATAGGCACAGAACCTTATTCTCCGTACATGTCACCCAGTCAGATATAGTCCTTGACAACGGCTGGTAGTGGTAATCCTTTGGATAGGCACAGAACCTTATTCTCCGTACATGTCACCCAGTCAGATATAGTCCTTGACAACGGCTGGTAGTGGTAATCCTTTGGATAGGCACAGAACCTTATTCTCCGTACATGTCACCCAGTCAGATATAGTCCTTGACAACGGCTGGTAGTGGTAATCCTTTGGATAGGCACAGAACCTTATTCTCCGTACATGTCACCCAGACAGATATAGTCCTTGACAACGGCTGGTAGTGGTAATCCTATGGCTAGGCACAGAACCTTATTCTCCGTACATGTCACCCAGACAGATATAGTCCTTGACAACGGCTGGTAGTGGTAATCCTATGGCTAGGCACAGAACCTTATTCTCCGTACATGTCACCCAGACAGATATAGTCCTTGACAACGGCTGGTAGTGGTAATCCTATGGCTAGGCACAGAACCTTATTCTCCGTACATGTCACCCAGACAGATATAGTCCTTGACAACGGCTGGTAGTGGTAATCCTATGGCTAGGCACAGAACCTTATTCTCCGTACATGTCACCCAGACAGATATAGTCCTTGACAACGGCTGGTAGTGGCAGTCCTTTGGATAGGCACAGTACTTTATTCCCTAGACATCGGCGCACTCGAATACGACATAAGGCTTTGAGAGAGCGAGGTTTCTTGTGGTACTCATCGAGCCACTTAGCGGCGACAGGATTGCAGACATACTTTGGGTGAAGCTTAGGCACTGTCAGGACCCCAGGGATGGTCTGTATCCCCGACATAAACAGCATCTCCAACAGGTGTTTGTTGTTACTGTGGAGGAGAGACTCAATATTATACACATCTTTACACAGACGTTAACTTGTACATAGACTTAAACTTGTACACAGACTTAAACCTGTACACAGACTTTAACCTGTACACAGACTTAAACTTGTACACAGACTTAAACCTGTACACAGACTTCAACCTGTACACAGACTTAAACCTGTACAAAGATGTTAACTTGTACATAGACTTAAACTTGTACACAGACTTAAACCTGTACACAGATGTTAACCTGTACATAGACTTAAACCTGTACACAGACTTAAACCTGTACACAGATGTTAACTTGTACATAGACTTAAATTTGTACACAGCCTTAAACCTGTACACAGACTTAAACCTGTACACAGACTTAAAACTGTACATAGACTAAAACCTGTACACAGACTTAAACCTATACACAGACTTAAACCTGTACACAGACTTAAACCTGTACACATACTTAAACCTGTACACAGACTTAAACCTATACACAGACTTAAACCTGTACACAGACTTAAACCTGTACACATACTTAAACCTGTACACAGACTTAAACTTGTACACATACTTAAACAAAGAAATATTTTGTTTTCTATAGTACTATTATAACATATTGGTAAATCATTAACTATAAGCTATAATATAATATAATAAGTGCAAACAGACAAAATTATACATTCATTGCTTTAATTCATTCATTGAAATCACAGCTATAGCTATAATTAATATAAATACAAGTATGTTGCTACTGTAATGAATAAGTACAAAAAGAATTGTGAGTCTTTATAAATTTACCTACTCTGATAATGAAAATAATGAGTGAATGAATGAGCCTGTGTGATAATTGGTTTTTGTTATTTTAATCTGATGAAAATTTATATAATATATATAAAACAATGTATACCTAATAAGAATGAAGTAGGATGATGTATAGAACAATGTATGCAGGTAATAAGATGAAAAATGATGTAGTGATATGTAAAACAATGTATGCTTTATTACAAGATGAAAAATGATGTATTGATATGTAAAACAATGTATGCTGGTTATAGGATGAAGAATGATGTAGTGATATGTAAAACAATGTATGCTGGTTATATAAGATGAAGATGAAGAATGATGCAGTGATATGTAAAACAATGTATGCTTGTTATAAGATGAAGAATGATGTAGTGATATGTAAAACAATGTATACTGGTTATAAGATGTATATAAAAATATGCAAGTTATTGAAATAAAACATTTTGAAAGAAAAAACTATAAGCTTAATATCTTATATCTGAAGTGGGTTTTTTTTAATATTGCTCTAAAAGCCAACAAAGGACTTTGGACTTCTGTTCATTTTGTCAAAAAGAATATTTGTTCAAAATCTCATCAAGGTTGAGTGTAAAACATTGATATCAGCACCAAAAATGTGCTATATATATATATAATGCTTAAATAATGAAGTTGATAGGTCTGGTGTTATATATATAAATGTCTAAAGTTTTGTATTGTCTGTGGTTTGAAGAAGTCAGTAGTGTATGCAGTGTACTCACCAGAACATCTCTGTGACCCCAGGGTAGTGTACTCACCAGAACATCTCTGTGACCCCGTGGTAGTGTACTTACCAGAACATCTCTGTGACCCCGGGGTAGTGTACTTACCAGAACATCTCTGTGACCCTGTGGTAGTGTACTCACCAGAACATCTCTGTGACCCCGTGGTAGTGTACTCACCAGAACATCTCTGTGACCCCGGGGTAGTGTACTTACCAGAACATCTATGTGACCCCGGGGTAGTGTACTTACCAGAACATCTATGTGACCCCATGGTAGTGTACTTACCAGAACATCTCTGTGACCCTGGGGTAGTGTACTTACCAGACCATCTCTGTGACCCGAGGTAGTGTACTTACCAGAACATCTCTGTGACCCTGGGGTAGTGTACTTACCAGAACATCTCTGTGGCCCTGTGGTAGTGTACTCACCAGAACATCTCTGTGACCCCGGGGTGGTGTACTTACCAGAACATCTCTGTGACCCCGTGGTAATGTACTTACCAGAACATCTCTGTGACCCCGTGGTAGGGTACTTACCAGAACATCTCTGTGACCCCGTGGTAATGTACTTACCAGAACATCTCTGTGACCCCGTGGTAGTGTGCTTACCAGAACATCTCTGTGACCCTGTGGTAGTGTACTTACCAGACCATCTCTGTGACCCGTGGTAGTGTACTTCCCGAACATCTCTGTGACCCCGGGGTAGTGTACTTCCCAGAACATCTCTGTGACCCGTGGTAGTGTACTCACCAGAACATCTCTGTGACCCCGTGGTAGTGTGCTTACCAGAACATCTCTGTGACCCCGGGGTAGTGTACTTCCCAGAACATCTCTGTGACCCTGGGGTAGTGTACTTACCAGACCATCTCTGTGACCCGTGGTAGTGTACTTCCCGAACATCTCTGTGACCCCGGGGTAGTGTACTTACCAGACCATCTCTGTGACCCGTGGTAGTGTACTTCCCGAACATCTCTGTGACCCCGGGGTAGTGTACTTCCCAGAACATCTCTGTGACCCGTGGTAGTGTACTCACCAGAACATCTCTGTGACCCCGTGGTTGTGTACTCACCAGAACATCTCTGTGACCCGTGGTAGTATACTTACCAGAACATCTCTGTGACCCCGGGGAAGTGTACTTACCAGAACATCTCTGTGACCCTGTTGTAGTGTACTCACCAGAACATCTCTGTGACCCTGTGGTAGTGTACTCACCGGAACATCTCTGTGACCCCGTGGTAGTGTACTCATCAGAACATCTCTGTGACCCCGGGGTAGTGTACTTACCAGAACATCTATGTGACCCCGGGGTAGTGTACTTACCAGAACATCTCTGTGACCCCATGGTAGTGTACTTACCAGAACATCTCTGTGACCCCAGGGTAGTGTACTTACCAGAACATCTCTGTGACCCCGGGGTAGTGTACTTACCAGAACATCTCTGTGACCCCGGGGAAGTGTACTTACCAGAACATCTCTGTGACCCCGTGGGAGTGTACTTACCAGACCATCTCTGTGACCCGCGGTAGTGTACTTACCAGCACATCTCTGTGACCCCAGGGTAGTGTACTTACCAGAACATCCATCTCTGTGACCCCGTGGTAGTGTACTTACCAGACCATCTCTGTGACCCGTGGGAGTGTACTTACCAGAACATCTCTGTGACCCCGGGGAAGTGTACTTACCAGAACATCTCTGTGACCCCGTGGTAGTGTACTCATCAGAACATCTCTGTGACCCCGGGGTAGTGTACTTGCCAGAACATCTCTGTGACCCCATGGTAGTGTACTTACCAGAACATCCCTGTGACCCCAGGGTAGTGTACTTACCAGAACATCCATCTCTGTGACCCCGTGGTAGTGTACTTACCAGACCATCTCTGTGACCCGTGGTAGTGTACTTACCAGAACATCTCTGTGACCCTAGGGTAATGTAACAGGACAAGGTTGGCACAGCCTCTCAGTAAAACCTCCACTGTCTCTTTGTGGCCTTTCTCAAACACTGTCGCTATTATCTTCAGACTGTGGGATCAAATGTCATTCAACATGAATTCTTTTACATCTGACATGATTAAAAACTTGTATCTAAATTGAACCAGATGCATGGAGAATAAAATAGCTTGCTAAACTTGAAGTATTTAGATTGTATTACATAGGTGGCCTGCATCGCTAACCTGGTATTAATCTCACACTTACAACCTTAAAAGTGAGCTTAAATAAAGCTACAGACAAAAATAATTATCTATGTCTCCAAGTCATTCAAAAGGACCTGTTAACCCCTGGCATTTGACCTTGAATATGGGCAAAGGTCAATCATATGAACAAACGTGGTAGCTGTTCATCCCAGCATGTTACTGGCCAAATATCATCACCCTAAGCCTCTTGATTATTCAGATGAAGTTGTTTAAAGTAAAAAGCTGATGCCAAACGATCGGACAGATAGACGATGGACGCCGCGTCATGTTATAAGCTCACTTAGCCCTTTGAGCTAGGTGAGCTAGAAACCAGTTTGGAAAAGAGAGGTCTTTATTTTGACCCCTAGATATATCAGTTACAAACACGAATGACTGTTTTGACATTAGGAAATTGTTATTGGCATCAAAAAGCACTTTTTTTCATGAACATATTTCGCAAACAGTTCTTCATGAATATGGATTGAAGGCCTGATGGGCCTGCCGATAGAAAACTTTACTGCTGTTACTGTACCTGTTACTCCCATGTGGTTTACTGAGAATGTCTTCTCCTCTACACAGGAAGTACTCCACAACATCCGCATGGTTCATCTCCATGGCAACCTGAAGGGCAGTCTGGCCGTGCTGCATCCTTAGCCTCATGTCAGCACCACCTGTCATCAAAAACTGACACTGTTCATCTCCTCTCCATCAGGCGAACATTGAAGATGTTTTGATTTGAGATGAAATTTTTATATATGTATTACTTAAAACCGGTACTCTAATTAACATCAGAGCATGAGCCAATTGAAATATTTTCCAATTCTGAAAGATTTCTTAAGTCAGCAATAAGCTTTGTTTTTTTCTTCCGAAGGTCAATTGCAAGATATCAAGATATTTTACACAAAAAAAACATTAATAAAAAATTTAACGATAGGTTTGGTATAGATAGATTTTTGTTTACACATTCTTTTCATCTGTATTGTAATTGCTTATATTTTTTAAAAAAAAGGAGACTCCTTGTGAACAAAATGTTAAAATGACTGATATGAAAATAAGTGTAAATGGGTGACTTCACTTTAAATATTGAGAGTAAAAATTATTAGGTTTGATAGAACATGTTAAAACCATGAGGGGGGTCAGGAACAAAACAAAAGTACCGTAATACTACATAGTGGGTAGTTCCCAGAGCCGTGTGTGACTGAGTAATACTACATAGTGGTTAGTCCCCAGAGCCGTGTGTGACTGACACTTGCTGGTTATGCAGCCTCAGTCACTGGAAATCAAACAAAACACCACTGTGTCATCACACAGCCTTATCACATGGTACCGTAGTAATAGAAGCTTACCCATTAGTTACTGAACCAGTTAAGTCTAGTTTTGTGTAAAATCTCCCATGTATTTCTCATCAAGGCTTAATACGCCTGTCTATGTTTTTACAGGAACAGATTTATCAGAAACAAATCCTGATAAAAATAAATTTTCTAATATAAATGACATGATTTGGTTGTTTTTTTTACAGTAAATCTATGCAAATTTGTGGGGAAAATGTAATGAAATAATCAATTCCCAAAAGTACGGCAACCCCAAACAATATTTTCAAATCTTGTTCACATCACTTTTGGTTTAGAATAATCTTCTTAAAGATAAACATGTAGTTTTTACACAAATACCAATGTTTATTTATGAAACATATGGAAAATCTTTATAAGAATAACTTCATTATTTCATTTGCAAATTCAAATGTTTGTTTGAATTTTGATTCAAGTAATACTGTATACAGGGAAAATTTTGCTGTAATTTAACTTTTCGCTTTTCCGCCATCCCCAATAAAGGAGAATTGATTATGACCGTGAATGTTAGTATGAAACATACAACATATAGTCATTACATGTTTACAGGGTGAAATTTACACGGGCCAACATGGATTTTATAGACAAACGGCAAATAATTGACAGGGCAAAAGTTTCCCAGTATACAGTAGGTCAGAAAGAATCAAAGCAAATATCCTAAAACCCAATGATAAAGGTTGTTGGAGTAATTCTAGGAATCCACTACATTGTTGGTAGTAAAGTAAAGTAAAATGATTCACAAACATAAAAGCTTTCGAACTTTCATTTCTGATCAAGTAGAGAATGTTTTTGTAGAGATTATCGCCGTATCAGTATTACAGTCTGTATGTGTAGGTTGTCTTACCCAGAATTAGGAGGATGACACAGTTCAGGTGACCATACATAGACGCAATGTGGAGAGGACTGACGCCATACATGTCTGTCTTATTGACATCAGTATTACAGTCTGTAAGTGTAGGGAGGTTGTCTTACCCAGAATTAGGAGGATGACACAGTTCAGGTGACCATACATAGACGCAATGTGGAGAGGACTGACGCCATACATGTCTGTCTTATTGACATCACATTCCTCATTGACAAGGAACTCCACAATGTCCGAGTGACCTACAAATAAAATGGTCCAGTTTAAGTTCCATAATTTCCTAAATATCATTGTACTACCATACTCTGAAGAAACATGCTCTAAGAAAAGTACAACCAATGTGTAGCAAGACCATGCTTTGTAATTTGTACCAAAAAGTTAGGATCTAATTACAACCGAGGTAACACTGAGCAAAGCTCAAGAGATACCCTGCTCTGGATACAATCTCCTTCAGTATTCAGCAGAGTGGAAAATATACTTCATAGTGACATAGTTATGGTGTGAAAGAAACCTTCACACCAAGTTGTAACAGGGCACTAAGTATGGGAAGCCTGTATAAAAACATCATGAAGAAACTATGGCCTGAAAAACAATTTCATTTGAGGCCAATCCGATTAAAATCCTATCCTACTTTCTCTACGTATCACGTTAGGTAGAGAATGCAGATAGGACTTTAATCAGATTGATTTGAGGCTCAGTGGAGTGTAAAAAAAGTATCCATATCCTAGTTGTAGCGTGTTTAGCATCCTCACCCCAATGTAACAGCATTATATGAAGATTTGAACCTTCATGAAAATATAGCGGAATTATGACATGCATTGGGGATAACTAGAAAAGTACATACTACCTTTTTAGTTTGAGTCATAAATAGGTTCAATAATTTGATCCTTTAGTTTATATCATCTTTATGATACTTAATATTGCATAAGAGAGTTATAGAAACAGATGATAGACAGAGTTTATGATAAGGTTGTGAAGCAGTGATCCTGTACCTACCTCTAAATGTAGCCTCATATAACGGGGTGACGTCATACTTGATAGTGATGTTCTTGTTACAGCCTGCTTTGATCAGCATCTGTGGGTCAAAGAAAATCATAAATACTTGTAAAAGCCTGAATTCCCACACTGCACTTTAATTGATGAGAATTAAAATGCAAATGTTTCATGAGAATTTTAAAGTTCATGCCAAACCGCAAAAGACATTTTGACTAATATGTGTAGTAAAGCTATTTAGAACAACCCTTAAAATTACTTAAAATCGGTTCTAGAATGATGTTTTAGATATAACACATGACCAGGTGCAGGGTTTTCATTAACAAGAGGCCCATGGGCCTTAACGGTCATCTGAGTCCTACAGTATTTATTTTTGTTGTTGAAATATGTACCAATTTGAGTAAAAAACAGTTAAGTATAACGTTAACTTAAGTTAGTCAGGACCACGAGCTGATCATTCCTAGACCGAGTTTCAGTTAAATTGGCCCAATAGAACTTGTTTTTAAGTTTGAACTAGTTATTTCAAAAAAAGTGGCCGTGGCAGCCAAATTGTATTTCTGATCAACCCGAAAAAAAACCCCACTTTGTCAGGACCATTAGTTGATAATTCCTACAAAGTTTCAGTTCAATCAGCCCAGTAGAACTAGACTTTAAGTTTGAAATGTTTTTTCAAAATGGCGGCCATACCGGCCATATTTGAATTCTGATCAACCCGAAAAATAATAACACTTTGTCAGGACCATTAGTCGATCATTCCTACCAAATTTCAGTTCAATTGGCCCAGCAGAACTTGACTTTAAGTTTGAAATAGTTTTTAAAAATGGCGGCCGTGGTGGCCATATTGGATTTCTGATCAACCCGAAAAATAACAACACTTGGTCAGGGAGATGTCAGTAACCTTCCCATGAAATATTAATGAAATCCTTTTGCAAGTATTTCAGCTGAAGTTGAAAATGTAAAATGTTAACGCACGACGGGCGACAACGGACGAAGACGGATAGCAATAGGTCACTTGAGCTAAAGCTCAGGTGACCTAAAAACAGGCACCAGGCCATTTAAATATGTTTTTCTCCGGTGGCCTGTTTTGGAAGAAGTTTCTTAAAAGCCTGTATGTGTATGGAAATAATTGAAATATCTCCAGTTAGCTTTTTAAGAAAGAAAATATCCTTGTAAATATTTCTTTTACACCATACCTGTACAACTGATAGCAATTTGAGTCTGGCTGCAAGGAAGAGTGGTGCATGGTCCTGACTTCCAAGGTTAACATCACAGCCTGCCTGAATTAGTCGCTGAACCATGGGTGGATTCCGTGCCTTGATGGCAGCGTAAAGCGGTGTAATGTGTATGTTGTCTGTGAGCTGTACATCTGCACCGCAGTCTAACAGGAAGTCCACCACGTCCATGTGACCATGCTCCACCGCCACCAGGAGTGGCGTTTGTCGGACATGTTGGTTGGTTTGGTTGATGTAGGCCCCAGATTCCAGGAGGAGACTACATATGTCTAAGTGACCTGCTCTGGCAGCACATATCAGTGGGGTGTCCCCGTTATCATTTAGAGTTTCTAACACAGACACATAATTCAGACGATCACTCACTCTCTGCTTCCTTTTATTATTCTGTTCCTGGAAAATAAAAACATAAATGGTTAAGTTTTATGTACTTTAAGACACTGTAAGTGTTAGGCAGCATTTTATATAGAGGTAATTAATGTGTGCATGCTGTGTGTGTGTGAGAGTGTGTGTATGAGTGTGTGAGGGGGGGGGGGGAGATGTATTGCCCTCCTATACTTGAATCTATGACCATCGAAATGGGTCGTGATCAAAATTACTTAAACAAATTAGCTGATAACATGTTATTTTACATCACATGCCAAAACATGTTTCAATATGTTTCTTTCTCTGCAATAAGACATTTATTAATGACATATATATAAGAGATTGAAGGGCCTATGTAAATATATGTACTGTGTATATTTGATGGGGTCAGTGTAAGGGATGGGGTCAGTGTAAGGGATTGGGTCAGTGTAAGGGATGGGGCCAGTGTAAGGGATGGGGTCAGTGTAAGGGATGGAGTCAGTGTAAGGGATGGGGTCAGTGTAAGGGATGGGGTCAGTGTAAGGGACACCTATTGCTTTCTTCATTCATCTTTCACAAAATATGCTAATTAGAAGTATTAAAACTAAATACTGGGTCAGATGACCATCAAAATATTCAGGTGCCAAGTATGTTGTCTCCATAATACACTACAAAAATGTGACTCTAGGCATTAGGATGTTGCACAGTAATACCAATTGTAGTTTGACCTGTGACCTAGAAATTGGGTCAAGGTCATTTATTTTTATCAGTTATAGTAAAAACTGGTGAGTTATAGGTGAGACTATAATAGGGATGTTAGTAAATTACCTTTACAATTGTTATCAATTTTAAACATTAAGAAAAAACTTCATTATGTTGGAACCATGCAATGTAAATGTTGCAGTAATAACCTATTTTTAGAACACAAACATCCTGGGTATTCTCATAAACATACAACAGTGCCGGTATGGACCACTGCCAGGGCTATTTCAGATTTCAAGATGTTCAGATTAGGTGCAATAATGCAAGAGAAAAGATCATAAAATGCATGTTCAAACAAACCAGACTAACATGCATTTATGCATACAGCTGAAATGCTTATATACAGTATTTACTGAAAGAAGTACAATATCTGTAAGCAGTTAATTCACTATTCATCAATTCCATGCATACAACATTGTAATCTGTTGGTTTATCTGTTTAACTATGGTAATACATTATTTCTGTTGGGTCTTAGGTTTAATTTACACAATATTTCTGTTTAAGGTTACGTTCCAGAGAAAATAAAAAAAATCCAAATTACTGTTTCACAGGTTTTAGTGTAGACATGTCAATGCCATACAATGTGATGTTTGTTCCAACAATATACCAGTATTCATAATGCCCCGTTCACACATTCACAGATCGGATCGCCGGATCCAGTATGGATGGAAACTCACAGACGAGCCCGGAATAGTCTATATCCGTGGTCCGCTACAGATGCACCATGGTTTGAGTACAGATAGGGGCCTAGTTGACAACAGGGAGTGATACGGATTGCTACGATTCAGTATGGAATGACACATGTCACTGTGTATGCACTGCAGATTAACAACGGTTTGTTACAATTTTAGTATGGGTTATCACGAAGAAGAACGGTCTGGCACGGAATAGTACAAACTCCCACGGAGCGCCACAGTGAGCAAACCGTATACAAATTCCTGCTCTCGCTTGTTCATTCCACAACTTAATTTTAGTTATAGTACGGGTTAGTACAAGTACATAGTTCACAGTAACTAATCGTACCAATCCTTGTCGACTTGAGGTCGGGGATGTACTACGAATAAGTATGGATAATTATGGTATATATCGGACTACAACGGATTAGTATGTGCTACTACAGATCAATAAGGATGTAATACGGTTGCCTGATCCGTGGTGAATTTTTGAACATGCTCAAAAATTGCCAGGGATATACAAGTACTACGACGATTGACCCAGGATACAATACAGACAGCAACAGACCACTACAGATTGCCACGAATGATGCCACGATCCAATAATGTGTGACCGGGACATTAGATATATATTTTACAATTAGACAAACTATTATTATTAGCATTATGTTCCAGAACAAGAGGCCCAAGAGGGCCTGTATCGCTCACCTGAATATTTAAGCAGTCATAGCAAAATATTCTCATTAAATATTATATTGCACTAAAAATATTTCCCTCGCAAACTTTGTTGGCTCCATCTGTTGAAACTACCAGCAAAGTATTATTATAAGATTCTATGCTTTTTGATTCTTCTTCAGAAGTTCCTGACATATTTTTCCCTGTGATCTTGTAAGTAGGTCAATGTCATTTTCCTTCTCAAATTGGTTAGCTCTATTCCAAAAAGCTACCAGCCAAATCTTATGAATCCATTCCTTTTAGTTCTCAAGAACAAATCCATTAAAATGTTGTTGACCTCTGTGACCTCTAAAGTAGGTTGAGGTCATTTTCATTTGCAAACTTTGGTGAGCTCTATCCCGGGAAGTCACCAGCCAAATATTATAATTTTATGCCTTTTAATTCTTCAGAAGAAGCTGTTTGAACTGTTTGACATATTTGAACGCTGTGACCTTGAAAGTAGGTCAAGGTCATTTTCATTCGCAAACTTTGTTTGGCTCTTTCCCAGGAAGCCACCTGCCAAATATTAAGATTTTATAACTACCAGTTCTTCAGAAGAAGTCGTTTAAAGTGTTTGACATATCTGCCTCATGTGACCTTAAAAGAAGGTCAAGGTCATTTTCATTCTCAAACTTTGTTCGGCTCTTTCCTAGGAAGCTACAAGCCAAATATAGAGATTATATACCTTTCAGTTCTTCAGAAGAAGTCGTTTGAAGTGTCTGACACATTTGACTCCTGTGACCTTGAAAGAAGGTCAAGGTCATTTTCATTCTCAAACTTTGTCGGGCTCTATCCAAGGAAGCCATCAATCAAAAATAAAGATTCTATACCTTTCAGTTCTTCAGAAGAAGTCATTTGAAGCTTTTGACATATATGACCCCTGTGACCTTGAAAGTAGGTCAAACTAGTTTTCATTCTCAAACTTTGTTGGGCTCTATCCCAGGAAGCCACCAGCCAAATATAAAGATTATATACCTTTCAGTTCTTCAGAAGAAGTCGTTTGAAGTGTTTGACACATTTGACCCCTGTGACCTTGAAAGAAGGTCAAGGTAATTTTCATTCTCAAACTTTGTTGGGCTCCATCCAAGGAAGCCATCAGCCAAATATGAAGATTCTATACCTTTTAATTCTTCAGAAGAAGTCGTTTGAAGTTTTTGACATATTTGACCCCTGTGACCTTGAAAACAGGTCAAGGTCATTTTCGTTCTCAAACTTTGTAGGGCTCCTACCAACGAAGCTTTCAGCCAAATATCATGACTCTAGGCCTGTCCGTTCTTCAGAAGAAGTTGTTTAAAGGAAAAGTTGACGGACGAGGACGGACGGACAGACGGACGACGGACGGACGACGGACGCCGCGCCACGGCATAAGCTCACTTGGCACTTCGTGCCAGGTGAGCTAACAACAATGGCGGACATCTCTTGTTCGGATAATTTCCCAGATGGGCGTCCAACCGAGAAGAACCCGATACCAAGCATCGAAATGGGTGTGTTACTGTAATTGTGTTTTTTTCTCATGTTAAGCGTTCAAAGTTTTCAGGACAAAAGACAAAAACGAAACCAAACAACTGTCACTCAACATCTATCGTGAGTACACAGAATCGAGAATCTGATCGAGAATTTGTTACAGATAGGCTTATATTTTGAGAGAGAAAAATAATATGTTCTCCCAATAATTGTTATACCACCACTAGGGGTGGTAATTTTACTGAGAATTGATTTAAACTTCTAAAACGTGTTGTATTAATATGAACACTTCAGTTTTGGTTCAAATAACTATAACAAATTACATGTAGGTCCCTGTGTACCAGGCGGGCTATGATGCATGCGCCTATTTCAAATAACTGTGCATGCTGTCAGAGTCTGTTGTACTGGCATTATTATGTATATATGTATGAAGAATAAAGACAAAATAACAAACAATATTATATAGATTTGGCATCAGTCAAAGTCAAGCTTCAACTATCTTTAATGGTTGGTTGCCAGTTATTAGTTGTAAGCTTCATCCTAGACTGTGCAGAAACTTTCATACAGAGACCAAAACATTTCAAGACATGGGGTGAAACATACAGTCATTATAAATCACACAATACAGTGAAGTACTTGATAGGTATTGCTCCCCATGGTCAAATTATGTTCATTTCTAAAGGCTTTGATGGAAGAGCTAGTGACAAGTTTATAGTAGAAAAGTCTGGTTTTCTGCAATTCCTGTTACCTGGAGATGAAGTAATGGCTGACAGAGGTTTTACAATTAATGACTTATTATTTCCACTTAGAGTTAAACTGAATATGCCTGCATTTACCAAAGGAAAATTACAATTGCCTGAGACAGCAGTCACAGAAACAAGGCGTATTGCACATGTAAGAATTCATGTGGAATGAGCTATTAGAAGGCTGAAAGTGTTTAATTTATTTAGCAATATTGTGCCTGTAACTTCTTTATAAAAGCTTGATGATATTCTGATTGTGTGCTCTGCACTACTAAATCTAGGGCCTGGATTAATAAAGGATGTCCGAGATGAATTAGATGACAGTGCTGATGAGTAACATTTGAAATAAAGTTTAAGGTCCTTGAATCTGTTCTGTCTGTTGAGATATAAACACAAAATATCCAGCTTTACATGCTTTTAGGTTTTCAATTGTTAAATTATATTACAAAATATTTGAAATACAAGTTTTAACTAAAAGAGATTTTCAGAACAGATTTTAACTTAACAGAAGTTTAAACCCAACAGAATGTACTACAGATTATTTATGGATGAAAAAGTCCTAAAGTGCTCAATCAAAACGTGAATTTCACACCCTAGGATCATCTGTTCCTTCCTGGGGAGGAGTAAAATTGACTACCCTGTATATTATTTCATTTTTCCCCCTGACAATTATCAATATCACAACAACAAA